ATTTTTAGTCCAACAGGAAGGCTGGGCTCCATTTTTAGTCCAACAGGAAGGCTGGGCTCCATTTTAATCTAACAGGAAGGCTGGGCTCAATGTACTTACCCTTGTGTTCTTATTTGCTTCTCTATTTGATGGGACAGTTTCCATTTGACCACGTGCCTACTCTTCTGGTAGGGAACGTCACCAAGGGCCTGCCAGGAAGAAGGCATAGGGACAGAAATGCAAACACTTGGACAACACTGGGGCTCCTCCTTGAGTTGTCTCAGGGGGTTAGCATTTCCCCTCTCCTTCCCACTTCTTCCCAGGGGGCCACTGCAATGAGATGGTGGTATGGCAGAAAGGCATGAAATTACCACCATTATTAGAACGACAGCCTGGGGCAAGGCTGTTATGTCAGCCTGCTGTTAAAAGGCAAGCCTGACACCCACCAGCAGGAACCAATAAACCGCTCGAAACCTTATGCTGTACTGTTATGTAACGAGAATGAGAGGCATGCTGGGCAGACCAGTTTGATTGGAGTGAGGGCAAATGGAAGGATGGAATTTTTGCCAAGCTACAGTTATGGGGTATGTATGTGTGTGACAGGATGTTCACTAGGCAGACACAGAACAGAATTAACTGGGAAGGAGCCTCAAAAGAGAGAGATCAGGGGCGCCTGGGTGGATCAGTCAGTTTAGCATCTGTCTTCGGCTCAGGCCACGATCCCAGGGTCCTGGGATCAAGTCCTGCTTTGGGCTCCCTGCTCACCGGGGAGTCTGCTTCCCCCTCTCCCCCTCCCCTCTGCCCCAGCGGGGAGTCTGCTTCTCCCTCTCCCTCTCCCCTCTGCCCGTCCCCTCTGCTCATGGTCTTCCTTTCTCACGCGATCTCTCTCTCTCTCTCTAATAAATAAATAAGATCTATTAAAAAAAAAAGAGTGAGATCAGAACAACTTTGATTAATCAAATATTTTTATATGGGCTTGGAGCTTCTACAAAACCAAATGAGGAGAAGCCTGGGAAATGTATACCTTTAGGACCTAGGGGATAGTTAGAGGGTAGAGCCATAGAATGAAACAGTTTGAGGACAACCTAAAACTAAATATGGTTTTGTGTTTTCCATTGTGAAACATCCCTGGCTAAGGATGCCAGGATGCAAACTTTAAAAAAATTCTCTTTTAGGGCACCTGGGTGGCTCATTTGGTTAAGTGACTGCCTTTGGCTCAGGTCATGATCCTGGAGTCCTTGGATCAAGTCCCACATCAGGCTCCCTGCTGAATGAGGAGTCTGCTTCTCCCTCTGACCCTCTCCCCTCTCATGCTCTCTCTCTCTCAAATAAATAAATAAAATCTTAAAAAAAAATTCTCTTATAAATTTTACCAGGAAAAAGCAAATCGTTTCACCTTAGAGAAAAGTAAAGTATAAACCTCAGACTTTCATAAAAATACTTGATACCATCCATGCTCTAGGTATAATGACCAGTGGATTAGGAGGATGAAGATTTCTAAACAGTAGCTTTCACAAAATAAAATTAAGTCAGTGAACTTCCCTTGAAGATATTTCTTGAAAATAAGTAGATAATGGACTATTTTGAAAATGATGTCAGGGACACCTGGGTGGCTCAGCCAGTTAAGCGTCTGCCTTCAGCTCAGGTCATGATCCCAGGGTCCTGGGATGGAGCACTGCATCGGGTTCCCTGCTCAGTGGGGAGCCTGCTTCCCCCCCAGCCGCCTGTCACTCCCCTGCTTATTTTCTCTCTCTCTCTGTCAAATAAATAAAATCTTAAAAAAAAAAGGAAATTATGTCAACATGTCTTAGAAGAATTTACAGTTTAATGGACCCCCTTCCATGAATCTTCTGGTGTTGAGAAAAATCACCTTTTAATATATGTGTTATTTGAGTTCTGATTTGTAAATAATGGATTTGATGAAACAGGACAGAGCCTAACAGGGAGCTCATACTAAAAACTGGGCTCCAGGGGTGCCTGGGTGGCTCAGTCATTAAGCGTCTGCCTTCGGCTCAGGTCATGATCCCAGGGTCCTGGAATCGAGCCCTGCATCGGGCTCCCTGCTCAGCAGGAAGCCTGCTTCTCCATTTCCCACTCCCCCTGCTTGTGTTGCCTCTCTCTGTGTGTCTCTCTGTCAAATAAATAAATAAAGTCTTAAAAAAAAAAACAAAAAAACTGGGCTCCAAGTATTTCATGGCAGGCTCTGAGTTACTATGTTTAGTAATTGTATGCTATCTTTTCTGACTACAGAATATTAGGTCCATTTGAGAAAATTTGGAGCTTGTAAAAAAGTATAAGGAAGAAAAATGTTTAGATATCCAGAAATAAGCTTTCTTATGTTGGTGCATATCCTTCCAGTTTTCCATGAAGATCTAGTCATTCACACATTGGATAAACTTTTACCAGGACTCTCCTATGTGCAAGATGTTGTGTTAGACAGATGGCAAAGGGGCCATGGTCCCTAGCACAGGGAGGACCGGATTATTTTTTTTATTATTTTTTTTAATATTTTATTTATTTATTTGACAGAGAGAGA